TACAAAACTCATATGAATGACTTGTATCTTCCTTTCTGTCTTTCTAAAAAAGATTTCCTGTAAATTTACATTTATTTTATGTTTTCTTTTGGGTTTTTATTTACTTTTTTGTGTGCAAATTTGACGATCCAATTTTGGTGTTTATTCAGGATTAGTTTTTACATGAATATGCATGATATATCTGAAACAAAGTAGATTTTTCCAGGTACAATGATCTTACTTTGTGGTTATTATTTGGATCTAAAAGATTATGCCACATGACTCGATTTCAAAAAAATTTCATCAAACTTGATATGATGATTCTAAATTTTGTTGTCATATACATCATATATGCTATATATAAAAATATATAGTATAAATTAAATCCATGTGAAAATGTTATATCAATATCGAAAATAGCTATTATTTAAAATAATGTTTCATTTTTGTATTTCATTCAATATTTACACAACTATCATAATTCACATGTTGAGTTTGATGTTTGATACTAAAACTCATAATGATGTTACTATTTATGTATTAATTTAAAATGTATATCAATATATCATTGTGTAATTTGCATTTATTAGCAAAATCAATAGAAATTTTCTATTTGAAAATAAATGTTGTAATTTTTTCAATTGTAATTACATGCCACATTGTTGAATCAATTTTTTATACTACATAATATACTTAGTATGAAAAACTTAATAAAAAAAATTAAATGCTAATATGAGATATTTGTTTATGGGAAAAAAATTCATTTTGAAGATATCAATTGAAATTCATAGAGTTACAATGATGCTTTATGATTCAATCTCAAATAAATCATTAGAATTATAATTTGAACAATTCATATAGGTAATTCATAAAAAAAAGGGACGGCTAGTTATCCCTCACTTAGGGCTGATTAGTCCTCATCATACTATACGCTGATCATTAATTGGTGGCGCCGGATTATAGATTTCGTGTGATGAGTAATAAAATTCACAGATTTTACTTCTTTTTGTTCTTTGTCAAAGATGCATATGTGGCAAGAGCCACGTGAAACCCATGCTTGCCGCCTCCGCGTTTGAGTTTCGATGTGAATGTTGTCTCTTAGGGTGGTATTTATGTCTCCCAAGTGACGAGAACGTACAACTTATCAACATCATTGCCTACGTTGCTCTAGAGTTTTTCAAAACTGCTCAAACTTCAGATCACATTGTTCCAGTTTACTCTGCTCAATCCTACTTCTAATGCTCAGAACATGTCGTTAACAAAATGTAGTAGGGTTTGCTGTGTCAAATTTTTTGCCATTTGGAGGTCTAAGTTGTGTGGAAGATTTGTGTGTAGTCACAATGACAGAAAAAAGTGATGTGTAACTGTTCGGTGTGGTACTGGAGCATATGACAACAAGACGAGAGCACTTTGTATTTTGACATGGAGAATTTTATTTGGTTGAATGAGTTCATACAATCGTTGATGCAAATTGCTGTAGATTTATGGTTCCAGCTTGCTCCACTATTAGAGATCTTCCACACAACAATGGACGTTGCGTTATTGAGTGTGCAAGTTTACGCGTTGAATCATGACTACACCATCGCTATTAAGCGCAGATGCAAGATTGGTAACAAAAAAGATGAAGCTATCAAGAAACTTGAACAAATTGATTGTACCTGAAGGTCCTATTCAGCGCAACACATTCAGTTGTAACACTAGCTATCAATTCAAAGCAAAGATAAACAGTAGAGTAGTAGATGAAGAAGAAAGACAAGCTCAACTTGTATGAGAGATACAAGTCCAAGCTTCCCAACATAATCACGACGTCTTTGCTCATTCCACCGTCCATCCACAAAAACGTGTCATAGGAAAGCAATGAGAGACAACACTTACTCCCAATTGTGCTGGTGTTACGATTAGCATAATTGTTACGACAGTATGACAAAATGAAGGAATACTTGCAATGGCAAAAGACATATGAAACTCTCCTTGAAGCAATGCTTTGGGATAATTGTAGGCCGGTCTTTGCTTTCTACGTTGCTTGACAATTTGGGTGCTACTGGAAGCACGTAGTATTTCATCCAAGTGGACGATGAGAAAAAAACTAATGCACTTGCTGATCATATTGCCGTCTACAAAGATGATTTGCAATATGTGGTATATATGCAGTTCGTCAAGTTTCTTTACTTGATGCAACCTATAAAACTAATAAGTATAGACTTCCCTTGCTGCTCGTTGTTTTATGACTGCTACCGCCAATAGCTTTACTTTCGTTTACTGTTTTGTGCGGCAGAAGAAGAAGGAATACTACATGTGGACGCTCAACAAGATTAAAAAGATTTTCAACAATTTGAGTGTTTTTCAACAATTTTTGTCACAAATCGAGAACTTGCGTTAATAAACGTGTTGGACACGTCATTTTCATATGCAGATATGCTACTGTGTTGCTGGCATACTTGGCAAAAACATAAAATGAATTGTGTGACTGAAGAAAATTGGCAACAATTTTTTGATGCTTGAAGTGTGTTGGTCATATCTACGACCATTAGAGCCTATAACGCACAACTTGCTACTATGCGCGATATCTTTTTGGAAATTTTTATTCAAAGTAATCCATAGTCCACCATTGATTCTTGAACGAGCGAGTTGTCCTGAACAACTTCGCAAATGTCTTCTCTTATGACTATGTCACCTTCACGTTAGTACTGTTATAGGTGTAAACGTCCATCTCACCTGCACATGACCCCAAGACTTGAGCCCAGTGTTAAATCGCCCAAATCTCAAGTTTGCCACAAAATCCGTTGTATTCTTGCGCGTGTACTTCATATCACTCCTTCACAATTGTCGTAGAAACTCAATTCCAACACCACAGCAAAAAATTGAGCTTAGGATCTATCAGCTCGTTGTGATACGCTATCAATCCGAATCCGGATGCTTTCAATGCCGTCAATCAAAGTATTGAAGCTCGTCCCATTGCTGCGCTTTCAATTTCTTTCTCGCGATGCTAGCTAAACTCTCAATTCAAAAATGCACTCTCCCGAAATGTCAGCATGGAACTATTGTTTCTACTAATATCTATCGGCGCTCTAATCGCATCGTAAACGCGTGCAAATTGATTATACAAAGGATGAAGTTTCCCTTTTAGTCGGCGCAGCCTTTCACAGAACCGAAGGTCCTTCTGCTATAAAGTCGAAGGTGTTTAAGCCGAAGTTTGAAGGTACTTCTTCGTCCTTGACTTATCATGTCAGTCGTTTCTTACACTCATAACTCCAGATCTCCTCATCCGTTTCAAGCGGTCTTGGAATCGTTAGAACGATCACGCCAAGCTCTATCTATCAATTTATGCCAAAGTCAAGTTACCACTAATTGACAAAGTTATGAGTCTTCTACTCTAGTAGAGAATAACCCATCTAATTCAACTTTATTGCTTGCAAGTAAAATCACTAACTCTAGCCTAGAATTATCTAAAATGAATTCCAACTATTTCTAACTCGTCATCTACTATAGAATCCTTTATTGAATCTATTTCTAATTATTCTTACACTAAAAGTTTAAATTCTGGTTCATCTAATACTCAAACTTCATTTTTCCAACAAAAATGGAAAACTACATTACCACAATTTATAGTAATTTTGAAGTTACTTTCTTTTTATGATCAAATATTTGTTTGATATGAAATTTAAGCTCTGATTGGATATTGACAGTTCGGGCAATTTCATGTTATATATCTTTGTCATATTAAAAAGAAACTCTTAAATAAGAATGAAAGATAAGTTTGTAGAATGCATTACAATAGTTATTACGTTCATTTGATATTTTAAAAAATAAAAAAATTGTTAGATGTTTTGTTGATATGAGTTTCTTTCATCAAAGTATCATATAGTTAGTACCGTTGTGATAAACTTGTCATGTGAAATTTTTTAACCTGAGTGACAATTACCTATTGTGCTATGACTAGTACACAATATAATCTTTGTCAAATGCTTTACCTTACACACATCAAAATAATCTTTTCAAATGCTTTACCTTACACACATGTATTACATAAATTTAGGCATACGCTAGTTTAGTACTGGCCAAGATACAATAACAAGTTAGCATCTCCCGCTACAATGTGCATCCCATAAGCTCGAAGCCGATGTGATCGAGAGCGTTTTCATACGGGCTACATATGGACAAGTTTAAGTAAACTATGTCCTAGTCAGTTAAGCGGGAGGAAGGCAGCGAAGGCGATCAAACTCCAAATTTAATCACTACGTCATCCAGATCTCCCTCCTTTGTGCACAGCTTAATTAATCCTGAGCTAGATTGAGTGTTAACATGATCAAAGTTTAAAACGACCTTTGCTTCTAAATGGAGGCAAACTTGGGGACAGGTAGAGGATTCTATATTTGGAGAACAATCACTCTGGACCCTGCCGAACTCGTCTATGGCCCACCTCCAATTTTAGTCAAAGTTACCGCATCGGAGTCTGCCCGTCTTCCAGCCAGTCACTAGAGACTATTCACTTGCGGGCAGCTGCCCGCAGAATCCGAGGTCCCACAAAAAGCCCCCGAATTTCCCAATCATTTATATTCAAAAATTTGAATCTTTCCATACCCGCTATTCTAAGTCTGTTGCGTATGCTTCCGGAACAGGAAATTGGGGAACAGGCTCTTTCGCCAGGCAGGGGCAGATCCATAAAATTTCAGTCCACCGACAAGCGGGCAGCCTCAGCGGCCCCGTTACGGTGCCTTGCCCGGTCGCCGACGCCGGTCCCGAGGCGGGTCTGGCACAGATTACCTGCGCGAGGCGCGGGGATGACCGGATCCTGGGACAGGGGATAATAATACCGCGATAGAGGGCGAGGGCAGACCCCGAACCGGGGCAGGAAGGGTCCGAGGAAACGTTGGCTTGATGAAGGCGGAGTTTTTATCTCTTTCGGGCAGGGTGAAATTACCGTTAGGAGTCATGCGGAACAGAACGCGCGCTCGCGAGGTTCGAATTCAAACGCTCTTCGGTCCCCTCCTCCCTCTGACCACCACTTACCGCCCTTACTCCCCGTCGTCCGCGAGGACGAGGAGCCTTGCGTCCCGAGCTCTGAGAGAGATGATGCGAGCGCAAATCTTTGTCAGAGTGTTCTGATTGCTCGCCGTGCCTTGGCACTCGCGTCCGGGGACCCTTGGCCGTGTGCGCGTTGTGGCTCCGACTCTGAGTCTGAGTCGCTGTCGCTGGGGCTTCGACCGCCCTTTATCGCAATGGGTCGAGGCGAATTGGTGGCCGTGTTTCCCACAGGTTGATGAATGAGTTCGTGTCAGATGAATGAATGTGGCTGTGGCAGCTGTTCTTCTGTGACCGTTGTTAGTTGTGTGGAATCGCTCCAGAGTTCACCGGGAGGGTCGGAACATCATTGATTCGGAAGCAGCTCGTCGATTCCACCCGTTGCATGCCCCGGTACAATCACATTTGAATCCGTCTCCGCACCGACGAGAATTTCGAATTGTCTCACCGCTCGAACCATTCGTCCGAGACCGATCTGTATGTGCCGTCTGCCGGATTGATTTCTTCGCGTTTCGTTCTCATGCAAACTGCTGCTGACGGAAATCGAGCTCGAATCATGCATTCTCAACATAACATAACCACAGGACACTTCTTACATTGTACATTGACGTACTATCTTTGATGAAGTTCGAGGTAGAAGAATTGGCTGCTGTGTCCCGAGAAGTGTCGGTAGATAATTTTGGCATCGAGGCATTTATCTGCCCAATCTGGAATGGTCTGACTAGAGGTATCTGTTTGAAATTGTCTTGGAGTCACATCTCGAGCATTGGTCTGAAGTCTCTGAGCTGGATGGATCAGCTTTCTCTTACAGACATCTATCAATGAGCATTTGGGGAGAAGGTGGAGCAGCTGAGAGTTTTGGGAGGGGACGCAAACTTCTGCACCTTATGGCGACGTCATCGGGGATCTTGTCACCGAGGCTCGAAATCTGAGGAGAAGAGATTTGGCAACCACAACGGGCAGAACCGCATTCGAGAATCGTGGACCGGAGCTATGGCGAAAGACAGCACCGGAGAAAACGCAGGTAAGCCTCCAAAGGCCCCAGACATTCGCAGATGACGAAGATCAAACGGTCGCACACACAGTCCGAAAATTAGATTTCATCCCTGAGCTCCCTGAATCCTGAATCCTGAATGCTGCCGTGTGCGCGTCAACACCTCCGACCTTGCCGAAGCCTCGTCATCCGAACGCGATGCACCGATGGGGGAGGAAGAACGGCCCAAAGTGGGACATTTTCTTCGTCTCATCTATCCTACGAGGCCGAGGGCATGCCTTTCACCGATCGAGCCGAGCACAACCCGCTCAAGGGATCCCTGTCTTGGCACCGCAGTCATCCCCAGGCCCCAGATGTTGAAATCGTCTCGGGCCGCAACAAATTGCGGGGCGGAAAGAACCTTCTTCCCCACAGTAGTAGAACAGTTCGCGAATACGAATCTGCACACTTCGCGTCGAGCGAAGCGCATGTTCGTCGCGCGATTAAGATTTGTCAAATCCAATCCGCCTTTGGGGCTGCCTCGCCTGGCCGTGGCCGGGGGGTCGCAGTGGCCGTTTCTCCGAGCGGAATCATACGCGCTTCTGGATCGATGATGCGGCTCAGGATTCCCGAGAGGAGAAAGGGGCCTGTAGCACCGGTCGGGGTAGTGCACGGTCAGCGCCGATCGGAAGATGGCTGCCGGGGAGCGCGGCCCGGTGTCGAGCCGCGGGGGGTCTGTCAGCCAGCCCCACACGACCGACGACTCCTCAGGGATCCGGCTCCGGGAAGCCGATGAGCATTCGGCTGCGGGATGCCAGGCCGAGATGTTGCTGGCAGCACCGAGCGACTGCCGTCGAGTGCGACATAGACATTCTGCCGCCTTCATGGCGAGGCGAGCAGAGGCGATGAGAGGGAGAGGAGAGAGGTTTCCAGTCGTCCTGTGGGCTGACGAGCGCACAGCGTCCGTGAGGGGGACTGGGATTCAGGATAAAGGCCCGAGCTCGTCCGGGTCTGGGAGCTCATTTGCAATGATTTGCAAAGGTCCTCGAATTGCATTCCTGGGTCCGTCTTTCCTGGGTGCTGGGGGTCAAGAGAGAGAGCGCGAGAGCCAAGGGCGCAATTGGGACTGCCACCGAGCAGATCCAGTGCAGACTTACGCGGCATGCAGCCCTCGTTTGCAGCGATCTCGAAACTATGCCCAGAGCACGTGACTCAGCATGAGGAGACGGAGTGAGCTGTGGCTTTATCGGTTCACTGAAGTGGAAGGAGGAGGAGGAGGAGGAGGGGGAGAGGGAGAGGGAGAAGGAAGAGCCTTAGCTCGAACGAACGATCACTGAACTCCGAAACACCATCTGGTGGGAGCGGGAGCAGTCCGCGGATTGGGAGTCGGAGTCTGTAGGCTTTCTGTTTCGGGGCTGTGAATGGTGCCTCGAACACGTGTGCGGCCGGGGGTGGCATCAATGCGCGATGGCATCCATCACTGTAGATCCGTTGTAGAGCTCTGCTGGGGCAGCGGGCGACCCCCGAGGGTTTAGTTTAATGGGAGGCATCCCGGAGAAGACCTCAGGGGAACATGGAAATTAATCAGATCTCTGCCGCTCTCTCACTCCCTTCCTCGGTCGCTAGCACTTCCTCGGTCTCTCTCGTGGGCTCTGAAGTGGCTAATCTAATCTAGTAACGAGAGATTTGAGATGTGTGTGTAACATAAGGCAGTTGCGCACGAACAGGTAACATCATATCAACCTGGGATGTTCTGGAAAAAAGCACTGCTAGGAAGGAAGCACATGATCGTGGGCTCTGTCTAGCATCCCCTCAATTCAATCATCCTGCAGATGTGCGCTTGATGCAGGTGGTCAGTTTACTACACGCACTGAGCAACCTTTGGTGATTAAAGTCATTTGAATTGTCCGCTTTCATGACAATGATGCACTGCATTTTAAAGTGGCGCCTTATCTGTAGTTACGGAATTTCACCACGGAAAAGACTTGATGATGAATCTTATAAGTGTGCCATAGGACGGGTGAGCTTCATTCAAACCACCATACATTGCAGTAAAAGGTCCCTGGCGGAGTATCTTCTCGAACATCATGACTTGATAGTCATTGGGCCACGAGATTTACTACCCCAAGCAGATGGTGGCCTATGGAGCTCTGCTAGGGTAGATGTACAATCGAGTGGTTTGAAGAGAGATCAAGGTGTGGGAAAAAAATCTCAGAGATTGCGTGGATTGGCTTTTATATCAGGGAATCTCAAGGATGAGTCCATCGATGGTGGAGGAGAGAGTGCACCACATGTATCTAAAGGAGAGACGATTTCGGCTGCACTCAGACAGTGCGTTTCTTTGGGTGGCAGACGTGGCAAGAAAATGACTAAGCCGTGGAGAGGTCGCTTGAAAGCTCGAAGTGCTTCCTATCTTCAGCTCTTCAAGGACCTCCCCTCAGGCCCGACTGTGTTTTCCACCCTTACATTGTATGATAAACAGACCCCACAAAAACAAGTTAACAGATATGGCAATCAACCGACAGGATTGCAAGATGTGGCGTGGCTGTCCTTGGATGGCCGCCTCATGAATGCTGACACTGCCACCAGTTTAGGCCGGATGGGAGGACATCTGGTGGAACCGGAGGCTTCTGTGTGGGAAGGATTGAATCCCTTACAGCGAGTTCTCATCGTTGCAGTGGCAGCAGCAGCTGCAGCAGCTGCGAAGGAGAAGAGCTCTCATGAAGTAGCCCGCTTGCGCAAAGTCATCAATGACAGGGTGAGTCCTTAGAAGAACAGGAGAAGCGCAGTTTCTGTCTTGCAACGAAGAGCCGCATGCTTTCCTTCCATTGCCACACACATCTCACCGCTCCTCTTCACGACTTTGTGCAGGAAAATGCCCTGATGCACATGCGACAGGAGCTCAGCAGCCTTTCTAGCAAAGTTGACATGGAACGTGCTGAACTCCAAACCGAAAGATCAGAGCCCACCTTTACAAATGCAGTAGAGGAGCTTGCCAGCTTACTGGGTCAAGTGGATTTGCGAAGATCTCAACCGAGTCCAGGGCTGAGCACAGAGCCGGATTTCTACACTGCGGTCAATCAATTTTGTGACTCCCTGGGCGAGTTTACCGAGCTAAAGGATGAAAGTGCCGATTCACCTGCTGTAAATAGACAACTGAATTTCAATAGCGCTATGAGAAAGGTGTCTCCTGGGAAGGAGGAATCTCCAATCAGTGGGGGTCCTGGGCTGGAACTCATGGAGAAGATGATCCTGTCAAATAGTTGGATTGAGTCACTTGACATCGGGTTACTCTTGGAGGAATCTGCTAATGAGGAGCATGAATTCTTGTTTGGTGAGGATCTTGTAAACAAGGATGTCGTCTTTGAGGAAAATGGAAATGGAAAAGAAACAACTGAAAGGAGTGCCGAAGCCGAGAAAGTGGAAGACTTGCGTTCAAATCCAGAGTGGGGTGCAGGAGCTAACGTACAGGGTGAACCCGTTGCGGAAGCTGGGTTTGGTCACGAGTGGTTGTCCGAGACTTCTTCCGTCATAATGGATCCATTCAGTCCCGAGCCACTTGAAAAACAGCGGAGGAAGCCAATTGAGGTATACTTTCTAGCTAAATTCAGGTTTAATTTTCTACAGGAGGGTGGGCAGCATAAGGTTTGCTTGTTGAGGTTGCTCTAAAGCTTAGCCTGAACTCTTGTGCAGGTGAATACTTCAAAAGAATGGTCTCTAAAATCAGAGGCAGGAGACGATGCATTCTCGGCCCGCGCCCGCTGTGCCACTATCATTCTTGATGTCAAGGTAAGCCAAGAATTAGTTTGCTCTGTTAAAGTTTGTGAGTGTTATTCTAGCTCAGTGTCCTCGCCAACGTAGCTCACCCAATCTGCCTGGATGTGTCTTCCAGAAACAAGTCATTGCACTGCTGGACGAGGCAGCCTCCAACATGCTCGAAGCTCTCAATTGCATCAGTGAAAAGGTGAGGCAGGTTCAGGGGACGAGTAGATACTGCTTGTTCTTCTATAAATTCGACCAATGTGCCGAACAAGTGAAATTGATACTTGCTTGCTATACTCCATTGCAGGCTAATCTTCTTGGAGGCGAGGAGACTGTAGCTATAACTCCACAAAGACCCGAGGATGCCTGGAGTCACAAACCAACAGGTACATCCCAACCCATGAGAGTTCAATATGATCGGTCATATATAAGATGTTCGATTGTATCAGTTGGCAATATGCACGTGGAGATCTCGTCATTTCTGGTGAGAGGTTAGAGGTGAGAGAGTACACGGACGACCCCTGATCTCCTCTCTGTGTCTGTAGAGTCGTCAACAATAAAGGAGAATGTGAGCAAAGTTGCCTCTCGGATAGCCGCTTTGCAAACAACGATGGTTAATGTGTGGCATACGCTTGGACCTGAGGCGATGGCTTCTCTAAACATTTCTCCGTCGGATTTTGATGATTATCTCACCAATCTGCAGATCGCCAAGGTGCCCATTTCAGACTCCTCCTGCATCTATTGACTGCCTCGCCCAAACATGGGAATCATCCCCTTTCGTGGTTTTAAGTGGTAGTATTTACAAAGTTTTAGAATACTGGCAGTGTGGTCTGATGTTTCCTATCTGACTTCTCTTCAGATTCTGAACGAAGACGCGACTGAACTCTCAACGGCCAGTGTCAACATTCAGTCGTGGCAGGAGTGGTTCCGAAGAGGTTTTGATAACCCCGAGTCTTCGTTTCTTAGAAGAATTCAGTCCACAGATCATGAAGACGATTTTGTGGGTGCATCTCGAAACTTTGAGCAAGAAAGTCGGTCGCCGTCTGCGTGGCCACCCTCTGTCGACATTCGCGCTCGCAAGACTTCTGTCTCAGAAAGCAACATGGTCACCCCTGCCGTCGTGGTAACAGCGCGAGAGAAAGTGGAGAAGCTTATGAGTCCTCTGTATGAAAAGAGTGAAGACACTTCCACCACTGACAGTTGCTCCAATTTGGTTACCGTTGCTGAACAGCTTGTTGCGGAGCTGGAGAAGTCGGCTGCAAAGGTACAACCTCTACAACAATTATGAGCCTGAGCACATGGCCGTTATGTTTCCAGCCGACGGCTTTGCAGTCTTTAGTTCCCGTCGAAAGTACTCTTTGAAGAAAACATTTCGTTGAATAATAATATGAAACCTCCGTTTATGACGATTAAAGCGCGACTCGTGAGGAAGGAGGAAAACTGGGTGCTGTTTAACCTCTTCAAGTGTTAAGTTGAAGGGAAAGGATGATGCAATTATGGACAGACACCTGGGACTGAAACTCGGCATTGATGTTGGTCACGTGCAGGTTGCCGGAATGGAAGTACAAATGAAAAACTTGAAGAAGTACGTTAAGGCATGTGATCTGAAGAGAAAGCAGGTGGAGAGAAAGCTTTTGGAAGCTTGGGAGCAAGACAGTAAGAATCAGGTAATTTACTATCAGTAAATTTTCTTTTCATACAGAGACTGTAATATCAGGACGAGAAATAGTTCTTTTCCTGAACTCTCGCAACTTCATGGATTCCAGAACAGTCCAATTCTGATGCTTCAGTGTACAATGTGAAAATGAACGAGCAGGTCAAAGCAGGTAATGAGATCATGGAGCTCAAACGGCAGGTTCGTCTGAAGGAGACCGCTTATCAGGAGTTGATCCGAAGTCGGAAGGTACCGATCACGGAACTGCGCTTTATCAAGAGATGGGCTTCCATTTCCTAGTAAAGCTTATGTGTTGTCAATGGTTGCAGTTTACTTAGGTCTCTGAACATAACCTTTCCACTTAACATGTTGCAGGCTCTTGTGGGTGCGAAATCCCAGGAGATTACCGAGCTTCGGGAGGACTGTCGTCGCCGTGATGAGGCTTTGAAAGACATGGCTACAGCTGCCCAAGCAACCCAAGAAGCGAGCGAGAAGGTCAGTGAATCAGCTCGTTTTTTTTTTTTCACACGGCTTCGAATTTCCTGATCCCTAGAATTTTGGCCCAGGAGGCATTTGGATTGAACTTATTTTTCCTGTTATTATTCTCCTTTGGAGCTGGAGATAATTATCTGGACCACCAGCTATGCTATGCAATTTCGTCGGGTTACAGCAGTCCCTCGTCTTGTTCATACCTGTCTGACATCCCCACCTTTTCTTTGGATCAGAAGCTCGCGGTTCTGGAGGAAATATGTCGGAAGAAAGACACTGCTATCATGACCTTGAAGCAGGAGATTTTTGAACTCGAGGGCAAGGTAAAGTTCAAACCTTGAAGGCACGATAAGTCAGGTCTGTAGGCAATGCCAGCACTTCTCACTATAAATTGCAGCAATGTAGAATTGCACGAACTTACTAATTTCCATAAGTGGAACAGGTTCAGGAGCTTCAGGCATGCCAAACCCCTGCACAGCTGCGCCCAATGAATCTCCCCCCTGAGAACGACAATGATGACGACACAGACGAGATCTACTTGAACGAAAGGAGCTACAGGCTGTTCGGAGCGGACGACTGCCAACTTCGCAGCTCCTTCACGTCCATGTGTGGCAGTGAGAATCGTCGAACGTCCTGGGGCTCGGACTTATCGGCCCAGGAGTTCCACATCATCGACACTCCATGGAGCTCGGAACTCTGTGGCGGTCAGGATTTCAACGTGATCGAGGAGGCAGCGTTCCAGGGTCGATCTCTGAGCATATTCCAGAATGTGACTTCATCCCAAGAATTCTCTCGGGGAGCGCTCAGAAAGTTCACGGATGGAGGACCGGCGCCCGCGTCCAGCGGGAGCACGAGCGGGATGGAGTCGTCCTCGAGCAGCAGCCGGCGCTCGGGGGAGAACAGTAGTAGCAACAGCCACCCTCGCGATATCAAGAGGGTAAACAACATACCCAGCTACCGGAAAGAGTTGTCCAAGTCCGTGACGGGCATGGTGACGACGAGGCCCCGGAGACGAGATGACGCGGTCCGAGCCAGCACCGGCGTGCTGTCGACGGTCGGGATCAACACGCCCATCAAGCCTAAACAGCGGTCCTCATCTGTAAACAAGGAGAGGGTTTCTCGGCAAGCTCAACCTTTGAACCAGCCGCCGGCGAATGGTTCACTGAACGGGGGAAAACCGAAGGAAAACTCGAGCCGAGGCAGCAGCAGGCAAAAGTGGGTGTAAATTGCTTAACTTCATATACGCTTGAAGATATGTTTGTGTTGCGGGGGCAACTTTCAGTGTCGTATGCTGGTGCAGGTATAGGCCTCATGCGGCTGCACAGCGGTTTACGAACAGCACCACCCACCATCCTAATTGAAAAATTTGTGTAGACTTAAAGAAAACTCCGAGTGTTTTCTCAACACTGATGTACATGACTGTACCAATAGTCAGACCTAGGAGCCCATGACAAAGCTTCGAAGCCGAAGATGCAATTTGGGCTGTTATAGGTTGCGGTTTTCGTTCTTCCTTCGGCCGGCCGGCCCGTCATATGATCTCCAGCCGGAAGTTCTTGTGATAATATGATCAAAGTCGTTCGGACTTTGTGAGTTACTCTGAGTCCCGAGAAGTATCGACCTGTACATACATGGAACATTGACTGCCACTGAGCTCTTATGCTTTCTCTGGACTGGCCATGGATCACTTGCTACGCTGAAGCTCTTGTCAGCAGCTGCCTGCCTGCCTAGTCGTCCCATGTTGGGGACGGCGTGATGCCGTACTTGGGAAGCTCGGGATGGAACGATGCCAGCGCATGGTCCTTCCTCTCTCCCTAACCATTGTTTTGCCGGATATGATCGACGCTGGCCTTTTCTTGCTTTCAAACATTTTGATGATTATCCTATCCCCAAGGCCAACACGTTGGTAAATCGGTCTGGACTTGAAAACTCCACAACTCATTTTTTATATGAATTAGTATGAATGTTAAGAGAGATGGACTTTGCCGAGTCTGTCGAGCGTCTCGTGTGTGGCCCACGGGTCGGCTTTTGTCTGCTCTGCTTCTGTGTTCGGAGTGCTTGAACGAAGATACGACCGCTAAATGCCTGGTGACGTCTATTGATCCGAGTCTGATCAATAATCGCTCTGAAGTCCAATAGGCGTCGGCAGCACGTCATTACCTCCCAGTTGGCTGTTAGATGTTTTGATTCTAGTTCCGTGTGACCGAAAGTTCCCCCATATTTAAATCGTCCGTGTGTGTAATGTGTGAGAAAGTGTTGGATTTATAATGTCCTTACGACACTTCCTTATTACGATGACCGTGCCACTTGTACACACACCCAACTTACTCGCCTCACTGATCTTCATGTAAACACAGCCGGAAGGTCCTGTTTCACATTCCTCGTCCTGCTGCAATATTTCAGTTACCCGATTAATAGGCTAAGTTAATCTGCGATGTTACTGATCGATGACTCGACACCAGTACATTCGAAGGGCATACTTTTTGATGTCATCTCTCCCTATGTCAGTTTAGCTGACGCAACCAACGCAATACAGCAGTAAAAAGAAGCAACTGGAATTTGTAGTCCTGCAACTTCATAAGCAACAGAACTAGTTTATTGCAAAACAGTGCGGAGAACATCACCATGAAACAGAGGTATATACTTGATGTGATCTATCCGAATCTAAATGGTTTGATGGAACCATCAAGTTCATTTTTACCCGATGGGATCCCAAAATGTCACACCGTCGCCAAGTTTTAAAACGTGTTTATGTATTGAGATATTGAATGTCATTGTTGTCGGAAGTTTAAGTCGTGGGTGCCGGGTTTCAAAATTACCAGTCAAACCGAGAAGCTGCGAAAAAACAGGCGTCCCTTAACTATGTAATCATCTCGAGAGGAAATATTGAAGAGTTTGTGCCAGTGCAGCTGCCTGCTTAATTCAGTAGCGAACTGAGATGCTTTGAGTGCAGTTGCTTGCTTATATCAGGAGTGAACTGAGCTACGTCGACTGCCTCAACACTGTAAAAGTCTCGATAGAATGGTAGCGCATAACGCATTCACGCCAGAGCTGGGAGGGAAGATTTGCACTCGGCATGGAATGGAAGGGGCTGGACTGAACACCTCTCCACATAGGGTAGGTGCAACCCCGTAGCTTTCTCATACATGACTATGAACGAGTTGCCAAAATATTCTAGCCCGACAGTGGCAAACACTCCCCACATTATACAGCATATTAGCGGGTTATAATAATTTTTATTGAAATATTGCTAGCGGTGGGTTGCATATGGTCGGAGAGTGAGGTCCCATCGGGTAAAATAAAACCTGTTTGATACCATCAAAAATGTTGATTCTCAGAGTGTTCCATCAAGTAATTTACTTTCATCCGAGTTAACGGAACTGAATGAGATAGTGTTCACAGATCAAGATGTATAGTAATCTTCCCATTAAGTATGCAAATTGATACCAGGAGGATTTTGCATATTTAACCAAGAGGATTTCGCATACTTAACCGGGAGATGAGTATTTAGGTGAATCAATTCTTAATAGAATGGGAAAACCTGTCAAAATTGCCAGAATTCAGAGTATAACCTGCATTTCAATAACTTAACTAATCCTCACATATATAATCCTATATTCGTTCGGGTGAACTAATGGTCATCAAGGTTCTTTCCTTTTCAAACGAGACACAAGGAAAAACCTACCAACAATAATTAGTAAGTTTTTGAAAGATTCATATATAACTTAGAGAAAGTCAAAATCGGAACAAAAAAAATATGCAGATTTTACCCAGGCATATCTTAAAAATTATTATGATACAAATTTTTTTTGAGAGGAATCACTTCTTAATATTTTGATTTGATTATAATGTCCAAGAATCAAAACTAAACTACAAATTTAGTCTTAACGATGTAATGTAAGCTGAACAACACCGTTATTTACTTTTAGTGGAAGCATCGTTGTTTCCAATAAAAGGTCTCTAGCTCGCAACGAAGATATTAGTGAAACAACTAAAAAAAATGTTTGAGACAAGCAGACTCAAACTTTAAAAAGTTATGACTCAATTTATCATGAATCTAGAGAGATTATTTTTCATTACTTCTTAATGTTCCATTGATTTTGAAGAAACGCTTTACATTTAGATTTATAGCATTAGTAGCGCCATTTTTCTCATTCCATTATCGCCAAATTTTTTTTGAATTAAGTTTATAAATTCTGACTAAATCAATCGCAAGGTGATAAGGGTGGCACAATGTGTTGTTCTGGGAGACTGAACTTAAGTCAATAAATCCTACAGTGGATTACTGAAAAATTTAGACGGCTTTTAATTTTTTATTGCCAAATATGATCTGAAAACATATGCAATATGGTTCATAAGGGCTTGTTTTTTTTACTACTACCTAAATATAGACTATTAATGTCAAATGAGCAAACATCAATAAAAAATTTATTTCTAAACAACAATCTTCAAAACTTGCACAATTTTAAAATCTATGTCATTTGAACTAAATAAATCTTGATACTCATTTTTAGGAGAAACCTATGTTTACTTACCGGGATGCGTACAAATACTGTTCAAGTATGATCGCGGCAGAGTCTCTACAGGGAGAGATTTGCTTGATGAGACCCTTCAGGTTTCGTTTTACCCGATGGGACCCCATGAACGATCCACCGTCACCCATGTTTTAATAACGACTTGAGTTGTAGAGAGAGTGCAACGAGTCAACCACACCCACAGACAGAGTGACTTCGCTTTCCATCACACTCACTTGTTTTTATTTTGTCATTCTATATCCGGCCACTCCCCCAAGTGACGAGCAAAGAAATGCTCATCCGGAGTTTATTTGTTCGCCACAAATGGATGATCGCGAGATTTGAGCTCGGACCACTTTTCGGTTGAGCTCCTAGTTGGATACAAAGGGTTATGGAAGGAGGGTGCAGGCGGGAGGCAGCAGAGAAATCCGCGAATTGGTGCGATCGGGAGAATTGAAGCACAACAAATTGCACTTCGGGCAAAATTGATCTTTGTTCTCGTGATAATCCACCAGAAATTATAATCATGGATTGATCTCTGATTTTAATCCCCGCATTGTAACTATCAATCATAGTTACAAGAACTATGGCCGACGGCACACAGTCGTTGGAGTTTTGATCGGGTAAAACTAAATCTAAACGGTCCTATCAAGCAAATTACTTTCCGCAAAGGTCCGATCAAGCAAATCTCTCGTTCTACAGGTTTGAAAAGATATACATCAGAAACCTCCATACGCTCGCTTTAGGGTTCCAAACAAACTCAGAGTGCCAAACGTGGCAACGGGAGCACAACCGGACCTGCTATTTTGTTCATCAGAAAGGATGAATGTATTGTCGATGCTCCGAACCTGCCAGACATCCTTCTTGCTCGTGATATCAATTCGCCCGTGGATCATGTGAGAGGTATGCTCAAACGCAAGGAATAAATCACTATACTTTGATAGAGTAACAACATGTGAGGTCTATTGAGATATTAGACACAAATAAAAGTTAGTGAATTTTTCTCTTTTCTGAACAGATGTAAAAACATCCAAAGATACAGAGTTTTTGAATATTGCTCCTGGTGTTTGGTCAACGAAGCAACTGCAAGACATGTTATGGTTGATTTTTTTAGCAAATTAGAAAAAAAATATAATATTTGGATAATTAATTGAAATGATTATAAAAATAAAGAAAATTTGAAGTTTATATTGAGTTCTTCAAGATAAAATTTTACATGAATAATTTCAAATTGAAGTAAAACTTAATGAACATGACAATTTAGATATATTGGTATTATTGTCAATGTAAAGTTGACAATAATATCAATAAAATGTTCATATATAGCTTCAAAATTACTATTGAAGCTTTGGATGAAGGTTTTTAAATCTTCAAGTATAAGTTTTGATAAAATGCATGTATCAAACATTCAAGCATTGACTTTAATACATAAGCTTGTGATGAGAGCGATGGTATTACTTGTTGTATTAACTACTACTCAAGGACACTAGACGTGAATTGTTGTTGGAACAATCTTAATTGAGAACAATAAAAAATACATGATTTATCATTGTATTTGATCAAAAAAATTTCAAATTAAGTTTTCATCTACAAGTCTACAACATGCAAATATTTATTCAACATTATTCAAGATTCTTCAATATATATTGTAAATATATTCATATTTTGTGTTTGGTTCACAGATTTGAAGCACAAGAGTTCAAAAAATTTAATAAAATTAAAAAAAGTATATATATTTTTTTTCAAATTAGTGTAGAATACGAATAATGAAATCAGCGAGATATAGATATACTCCTAGAGTAATTGATGCACAATTCTAATTTACTTCAAATGCTAAATTCTAAACTTAATCTAAAGGCGTACATGTATAAATCTAGTTACGTGTTATGTGCATCATATGATAATGCATCTTTTTCACTATATTTTCATGTATTTCATATTATTTATAGTGTCATGTAAATGAATTATTTTAAATTTCAACATACTCATCACATTGAATTGGAAAAAAATACTTGTCATTTTTGACAAAAGAAATCTTGGAAAAAAATGTGATGTGATGTGATGGTAAAATATATGATGGTTTACTAAATACAATTCAATTTATATTTCCCCAAAAAAGCTTATGTCTTAACAGCTTATAAAAAGAAGAGAATGTCATACCAGAGAATGTCAGAGAAGAATCTAAGGCAATTTTTCTTCTAACAAAACAATTGATGACTTTCATGTTTTGGTGTAATTAAATCAAAATAAAATTTTATTTCTATATTGATGCATCGAATATTGTTATGCGATACATTATGAATCATTTTATTGATTCACATTTTATTTCAAGTATATGATGAAAATCTTAAGTTTTGACACTATTTTTTCATGAAAAATTAACTATGTATTGATTATATATATTTCAAATATATATACAAGAATTTTAATATTAAATAGAGTAATAATTGTGTTAATAATATTACTTATTATTAACA